AATATCATATTCGGAATTAGGATCAAAAACTGAGTCGACTGTTGTGTATTTCGAAACCTTTAGGTCATTTTCATTTTTTAGTGAAAATCTTGATCATTTTTCAGCATGAAAATTCGACAAAAAGTAAAGTAGTCTGATAGGATAGAAATACACAACAGTCAACTCAGTTTTTGATCCTGATTCCGAATATGATATTTCTATTGCATTAAAGTTGACTTCTGATGGCGAAAATTGAGAATTACGAGCAGAATTTTAACTTGTTCGGCTCTGATTTAGAAGACACGGACACGAACTTTTTCAGCAACGGAAAGGAATTTCAAGAAAAGGATAACTATCTTTGTTCTACGCTTCACGGCGGATCGAATGGCGTCGAATTCAAGGTTCCATCTTTTAAGGACAATAAGGAGATAGGCTTGAGAGTGAGAGTCAGGAAAATTGACGTCTTTAAACTTTGCGCATCCCCAGAACACTTCTATTCTTCTTATTATTGAAATATAGTTTTCTGTATGCAGTTTTCGACGTTGAACAAGAAAAACACTTGTTCAAGGTTCCAGAACCAGACAGAAATGAGATATAGCGCCACAAGAAAAAATAATGCTGTAACCTTGAATTTGGAGCAGCTTACCACCCATCAAATTCAATGGACTAGGATATTACTTTCATAGTTGATGTTGTTTAGATTTTTATAACTATAACGTCATATTTTGTGAATTAGAGTGTCTCGTTCTTTTCGTCATGTAAGCGAAAGACACAGAACATTCTGTTTCGTAGAGTATGTCATGTTTTATAGAATAGACTTTTCTTTTCTTTTCGTTGTGTAAGAAAGAACAGGATAAAAAGGCCTAACATAGGTTATCTTTTTTCTATTGTTGTTAGATTCTTGTTTGAGTAAAAATCCTTGGAAAACTTCATACTTTTCCAAGGAGGGTCGTGGAGAGGTGGGAGTGGTCTCATTTTCTAGCTCAAACTTCTTTCTACATTATGCTACGTTCAACTCAAAATGAAAAATTTTATTATTTATTTTTGTAAGTGAAAAATAAAAACAAAAATTTTCACAGTTGCAAAGAATTTTTACTTTTGCAAACTGAAAATAGCGTGGAAATTTTGCTTTATTTTTTACTTATTAAAACAGAAGAACGTTCTTTTCTTTGGCAAAGAACACTTTTTTGATTTCACAGGAAGCAAAATTAAAATGCCTCCCTTAGTTGTTATGAATCAAATAAAAACTATTTGTCGGTATGGTTGTCAAACAAAAAACAGTCTATTTGTCGATAACTATATGACCGAATGTTTTCCGATGAGACAAGGAAAGCCTTGTTTTGCATCTCACTTTCCATCTGCTGATAAAAAGGAGCGGTATCTACTTACAAAATATTCTCTCAACAATGGTATATTACGGGCATAGGTGAGTCCTGGGGGGTACCGAGTCCGAGTCCATTTCGAGTCCAATCTTTTAGATTCTATTTTGACGAGAGTGGTTATATTTTAATTTGCTGAGCCATGAATGGATATTTGATTTTTCAAAAATAAGGTTACCTTCCATGTCCGTCTCCCGAACAAAATTTTCAATTTCATGTGAAACAGTAGTTCTTTCGCTTTTCATTTTTCTCTGCTCAATTGTGTTAAAAGTTGAATAGATCGGACTCAAAATACAAAAACTCAAGCCCGAGTCCAAGTTCTTCAAAAAAATTTTCAGTCCGAGTCCGCCAAAAAATCTTCCAGTCCGGACTCGAGTCCGACTCAGACTAGCCCATGCCTGGTATATTGCTTATCTGTAAAGGTTTCGCGTTTGTATACGAAAAAGTTTCGGCTAACAGGTCTAAATTGTTTTGATTTCTTTGTCTACATTTGCCATCACACGATTTCGATTTATTTTTATTTGATTTTCCGTAGGAGATTACAAACAGGCACAATATTCAATTGAACTCCGAGTAATAGTGTTATAATGTCATCTACAAATGTATCGCACAAATTAAAAATAAACGCTGCGCAAAAAACGACTGTTGCAACAGAGCAAATTATCAATAAAGCAGCTGAGTTGATAGTCGACTGCGAATCAATTTTGTTTACTAGTGGTGCTGGAATGGGCGTAAGCAGTGGATTCGGCACATTTCAGGGAATTGCAGCTAGTGTATGGCTACCTTTATTACAGCCCTCAAAATTGGATTATACTGACATTGTTAATCCAAGTTGGTTTCACAAACCGCAAGGCAATAGTAGTAACCATGATACAGCCAATTTTGCCTATGCATTTTGGAGCGATAGGTACAACGCTTATACATCTACTGCCCCTCACCTTGGCTATTTCATTTGCAAACAATGGAGTGAATTAAGTCATATAAAATCTGCATTCAGTTTTACAAGTAATATCGATGGACATTGGATAAAGTCAGGCTGGAACGAATCATCGGTTCTTGAATGTCACGGTTCCATTCACTATATGCAATGTGTCAACGATTGTCGTAAACGTATATGGGCTACAAAAAATGAACTTAAACTCACTGTAGATCCAAAGACGAATTGTGTTACTGATCCTTTGCCTTTATGCTCTGACTGCAATGGGTTAGCGAGACCGAATGTCTTGATGTTTGACGACTGGGCAAAATTTTCAGGCAATCGACATGACGAAAGTTTCTGCCATTACGGGCAGTTTAAATCAGATATCGCAGCGGCAAAGACAAAATTATTAGTTATTGAGTTGGGAGCTGGTATCACAGTTCCCTCGGTTAGAATTGAAAGTGAACTTGCTTTTACTGACAAACGATGGACAGCTCATTTAATCCGTATTAATCCATTAGCTGAGCATGCAGTCATCGATGCTTACAGAAATAAAAGTAAAGGACAAGCTCTTGAATTACCACTAGATGCATTAACCGCGTTGACATTGATTGACAGAGAAGTAAAAAAGAAGTTAAAATAATGATGAATACCAAAACATTGATGTTCGACACTCCTAAAATAATATAACCAAGTTTTCATTTTGGCTGCCTTAAATACTAAGCCTATAAAATATTTAGAATTATCTGAGCTTTTGGTAGTTTAATTCATACAGAATACCCAGGTCAACTGTCATGCCACATTCGCGAAGTGATCGCTATGAACTCCCATCACTCGCGACGTGAGCGCTATATAGTCACGCTCTTGCGACAAGATCTTAAGAAAGTCTTAATTTATTGAAAATTTTTTTCTGTGAGTCACGTTGCGATTTAACTATCACGGCGTGAACGCTATGCTTTCATTGTGTCGAGGCGCGATCGATATACTGTCGCTATGTCGTGGCGGGATCTTGAAAAATCCTGTTTTAGAGAGAAGAGGAATTTTTAAGAGTCGTGGTGAGTTCGTGATGACGCGACGCGACTCTTGCGATTGTGAATTTCACGTACTCTGCTTAGTCGCGTCACGACTCTTACTGCGACAAGCTTTTCTTCAAAAGGTTTGCCTAGTCGCGGCGCGATCGCTAAAAAACTTTGTATTCTCATCGCGATCGCACTGAATTCTTAAACTTGCGCCGTGATCTTGGTCTAATCCTACTTTAAAAGAAATATATTTTTAAGATTCGCTACACGATTAATGTTCGCGGCGCGATCGCTATACTGTCGCTATGTCGCGGCGGGACTTGAAAAGTTGGTCAATTTTCCAAAAACCAAGTGAATATTTCTTAGCGCGGTCTCTATATTATCAAGGCACGATTCGCGATATGGCAAGTCACACCGAGACAATCACAGATATATAAACAGTAGTACTGGCCTAGTCGCGTCACGAGTCGCGGTTTTTATAGCTGAGTTGCGATCTAAGTAGAGGAGTTTTAAAACGTCGCGGCACGAGTCTTGATTGTTCGGTGTTATACCTTATATTATCTTTCTGAACTTATATAACACACACATAGTGAGAAAAAGAAAAGAACACTTGTGAAAGAGCACGTGTACGTGTGTTGTGCTCAGGGTTACGTTGTTCTCTTCTTTTATCTTTAACCTGTTGTATACACAACGTGTATGTTTCCTTTTAATAGTCATTTCTTTTCTGTTATCGCAGTGTTAAGATCACGTTATCGTGTAATCTTTTGCAGCCATGCACTGCGTTTGTAAATTTTTTGTTTTAATATATAAGGTTGAAATATTAACTAATATATAGCTAAGATTGTGGTAAGTACACAGCAATTTCAGTGTGTGGAAGCAGAAAAAAATATGCTCTTTCGTTTTTGCTACATTTGTTACAAAGTTGAGCTGTTTTCTCCTAACAGTTTTGAAAGTCAAAAACTGGGTTACCTTTGTCAGAAAATGCACAAAATCTAAGAGATTCGCCTGTATAGGTTTAATTAGCATGTGGACCGTGTTAAAAGATCTCAAAATATATGCACTAAAGTAAGAAATGCATCAAATGGTTGATTATCGTCTCTATATGAGTTTCCTCGGTGTAATATCGCTTTGTTGTTGGTGACTTACAGGATGTACCGAAGATCAGTTCGGCCCTGTTTGACGCAGAGAGGATAGCGGCATAGTTCCAGAGCACCTCATTCACAGGATGCTAGATTAGCTCTCGGCTCTAGCAACGAACTGTTCATAGCGTTAGTATTTCTCGGATACATATCCTCTGTAAGCACAAGCGTGATGTTTCATCACATACAACAAACGTTTTCTTACAGTAAAACCCATAGACGAGCAATACGATATCACGTATATTTTGAGATCTAATTCTAGTCTCATGGCAAACCGGAATTGAAAAATATAGGTGGATACCGTTTGATCAACAGTTGATGATAAGCTTGAAGCATTCACGTTCGAATTTGATTTTTCAAAATACCTTCTGACTTAACCAGACTTCAAGAAAAACATCTAGTTCAACTTCGTAGCAATAGAAGAGGCAAAAAGGACTTCTTCACTTTCCACCAGTTATTCTGTTTTGAAATAACTGCGTACTTGTTACGTGCATCATGTTCCGAAGAGTAAGCCGGTAAAACATGGTGCACTTAAGTGTCGAACTGGATGCAGACAAAGCATCCTTTCTCCCTGAAATGCAAACCTTTAATACTTCTCTTTTTCTGATGCTTATCTTTCTGTTTTGTAATTTTACTGTGATTTATAATGTATGTAAATAATGTTGAATGAACATGTAGCAAAGAAGTTAAACTGGTATACTCGAGGCAGCTTTATCACAAGGCTAGATGATACTCCAAGCAAGAAAACAACACTGTAAAATGGCAAGAATGGAAAAACTCGCTTCGCGAAAGTAGGACTCATGTAGCAATTATAGGAGTCATGTAGCGAGAACGGTCTGTCGCGCTGTTTTTTTTCATAAAATGTAGGACTCATGTCACGACATAGGGATTCCTATAGATTCCTATGAAGATTCGCTCTAGTTTAATTGACAGAAAGCGGGACCCATATAGTGACTTAGGAAGTCACGCCGCGAGTTCAAACAACTTCATACTTATAGCTTGAGTACTTCTAATCTTCCTGAAGATGCTCCACTTGCAAATATAATTCCAAAAGGTGCTTTTAAATCGAGTCTGGAGTTCAAACTTGCAAGCAAACTTTGTGCCTCGACTGAGAAATATTTCTCAAAAGAAAACGAGCCATTTGGTAGAGAATTGAATTCTCTATTCTACAGTATATTTTTAAAATTATTGTACGAAAATATCTAGGTCAGAAAATTAAAATGAAAGTTTTCAAAATTTTAAATATAAATTTTTTAATTGAAAATTCAGTTTTTTTCAAAATAAAGGGCGAATTCGTGCTCAGCATGAAAACTACGTTTATCGATTTCCCGATGAAAAAAAGAAAAACTTGATCAGCCAAGTATCGCGTTACGTGGACAAGCCGCATTATGGTTGCAGTTGCTATGATATCTAAGATATGACGCAAGGAAGAAGTCTCACTCGTTTTTTAAGTTTAATTAATTTAGTGTACTTGTTGTGGTTGATTAAAAGTTTTCTCTAAGTGCTGACCTACGTTTGACATCCTACCCGTATCTGACATACTTATGTATCTTAGGAGTAGAACGGCAGACTCTTTTTTCTTAATTAAGATGAGGATGGAATACAGATTACTGAATTTAAAGAGATCTAAATCCTTATAATCTTTTTATATTGTTTGTTGTCATGTCAGCTATGCATGTCACTTTGGCGCCTCATGAACAAGGAACTACTGTCGAGATAGTGAAGTGACTAATTGACTGAATAAGATGATGCGAATGACTAGGCCTCTAGCATTCACTTAGAGATATACATATATCCAAGATATATCTCTGTTGACATTTGCTTCACATCTGCGCAGCGGCGTTTATCCCCACCTGAATATTTGAGGCATTTTGTACCACCTCGCAGGTTCGATCTCTCAGTGTACCACCTGAAAAATGAATTTCTATAGCAAAAAAGTATACCACCTTACTTTTGTTTGAGGCATTGCGCGTCAAACGTCCAATGGGATAGACCCCCCTGCATTTGCGTATTCTGTCTCGCTACGGAAAAGAGCAATGATTAGCATACAGAACTAGCCACAGTTCAATATTTTGGCTGCGGACACTGTGGCTAGTTCTATATATTACTGATTCTATATGATTTTATATGACCACGACATGTAGTTATTTAGTTTCTTATGTCAACAATCATGTTGAATTTGAGTGGTTAATATGTTTTGTACTGTTAAAAAAAGTTGTTTTGCTCAAGATTTGAATGTGTGCATAAATATTTTTCTGCGTTTGGCGATTTCTTAAACACTTTGTACTTCTTTTGTAGAAACGAACCACCAGATATGCTAAATTGTAATAGTTTTGAGTTGTGTTCTCTTCATAATGTACGTTTTCGCTGTTTTTATGTGCCTGTTGATAACTGTATTTGTATTACCGAATATGCTGTTGCATATCAGCATAACTGATGTACAGAAAATAAACAACAGTACCAAAAGAAAAAGATATAAACTTAAGCAGCGGGCAGTTTACAAAGGTGCGGTTAGGGAATCCAAAAAAAGGAGTTAACATCATTTGTAGACGCTTCTAAATTGGAACGGATGGAGAAATTTTACGAGAAATAGGAACACAGAAGCAATTCTATGAAATTCCTGTTCAAGAATTATATTTTCCTGCTAAAGTTTTAAATAATTCCTACTACATTATGATTCAGTCATCGCCTTTTCTTGTTAGGATCCTGGCAAATCCTATGACTTTTCAGTGTACCTGATTCTTTAGGATTCTGTAAGATTTTCCTAGGATCCTATTAAAAAGTCAGCTAAATCGTAGAATTCTGTCAAGAAATGTATAGGTTTCTTACTAGGGTTATATCTCCACGAAAAAAATTTTGCCTGTGCAGATCTCTAGTTGTCCCCCACACTTCAGCTGGTATTCATTAAACCTTTTGTGTATAGATCTATTAATTTTTCACTAAATACTAACCTAACCACTGAATAAGTAATAAATTTTTCAGAGTCGAATAGTGTCGTGCAAGTAATCCAAAGTATTCACGAACATAAACTGCGAAAGTTTGAGTAAAAAATTCAAGACTTGAAAAATTGTTAGTGAACAGAAGATTCTTACAGTACCTTACAGCTAGCTCGCTCTAAACAAGCATTTTCTAGCAAAATGTTGAGCACACGAGTTGTTCAAAATCGATTTTCGACGCCTCTTATGACAGTGATTTTTAAAAGTTTGTTTTTGATTTTTAAAATACGAAATTTTCAATTTCGAAGATTGTGAACGTTAATTTAGAAACCGAAAAAGAGAAGTTGCAAAGCTGACGCCGCTTTTCGTGTGCAAATTATTTTTCAAGCAAACTAACGGATGGTGCGAAAATTTCTGCACAAAATGTTTATCCATTTATCTTGTTCTTAGAAAGATTTTCGAAAGAGAAAAATAGGTGATGTGCTGAAATTCTGCATTAGTCGAACTAATACAGAATTTTGTGAACATTTTGTTCTAGAAGAAAATTCAGAATTTTGAATTTGTAACCATTTTTTACGTTACTCCAGATAGTGGATTCCGGCATCAGGAATCTGCCGGAAAACGTCAGAATTCGGTAAAATCTGGTAGTAACCGTACCGGAAATCCGTTGCTCTGAATCCGTGTCGGAAGCTGTCGGAAAAGATTCGACCGGATCCTTAGAGTTTCAGACATCGGATTTTGCTCGATTTGGCAGAATGTGCTCAGTTTTCAGGTGTTTTAAAGTTAAAAATAGCCTTAAATTTTTTCTTTCATTTTCTAGTGCGTCTTCTCTCTGTTTGTTCGCGAGAGTGAAAGGGCGCACTAGCTAGGCCGTGTACAACACGTCCGTTGAACACTGTGAGCGATGACTCACACTGTTATGAATTTAAGAAGAACAACTCATCATTTTTCATTTTCTGTAGTGTCGTATTTAAAGTGTTCCTGTCGTGAAATAAAACGGTGAATATATTAAGCGAACAGGAAAGAAAGGAAAAAAAATTAAGTGCACACCATAGGATCCGTCAATCTCCGGTCACCGGAAATTAACGGATACGAGTGGTTCCGCCTATTGGATTCGATCTACGGATCCTCCATGAACCAAATATCGGAACGCAAAAGAATTGAGCAGGTTCCGATCGGACGGTCGATCTCACCGGCCGAATCACCGGAATTAAAAGGATCTGATCGGAGGAATTCAATCTGGGTATATCACTCATATTTTCGCATTTTTTGCGTGACTACGTAAAAATACTTTTGCAATTTCTACATGGGTGTAACTGTTGTTACTGAATTCAAACACAAATCTCATCAAAGAGGAAGTGATTATAAAATGAATATTGAATGAATTTACATAATCTAAAAGTTATCCACAAAAACGTTTCTTAGCTAATTTTTGACCAATTTATCATAAACTAATGATGCGAATCCGTTAACGTCAACTGTATTTCGTTTCATTATTTCAGATGATATGTTGTAACATAATAATTTCCATTGTCCCTTATCATCATTTAATAGTTTTGATAAGATCAAAACAATAATTGTTGGCCATAGACCACACATTGTATGTTGTGTTGTCTGTTGAATATGAAGTAGTTCTTCAGGATTATTAGATAAAATAGACTTCAAAATTGGTTGATCACATAGACGAGCATATTGTTCATTATCCGTTAATTGCTGTTGTTTACGATTGCCATAAGACGGTCCATAGTGTGTATAATCTGTTGTTGATATAATCACTATTCGTTTACCTGATAACTTTTGTATTGCTTTTTTTATTTGTTCGCATACTTTATAAGCTTTATCAATAGATAACGAAGAAAATGAGAGGGCAACAGTTTTAATATTCGGTAGTAAATGTTTTAGAAATGGTAATTGATTTTCAATTGAATGTTCTTGTCTGTGTGCTTCTCTATCCACTGGTATGCCAACAGACACAAGTGCATCTAATAATTCAGTATCACATTCCACTAAGCCTAATGGCGTCTGCCAATGATCAGGTGATAAAGCAATGGATGAACCCACGCCACGATGATTTGTGCCTAAGATTAGAGCTGAATCATATGTGCAGGTTTGTTTACTCAACCAATAATAAGCATGGGCATATAGTGGTCCTGAATCACAATAGGCACCGTGTGGAACTAATAAACAGGGAATAAATAAATCAGATTTTGAAGTTATTGATAATGGTAATTCACCAGGACCAAATGGATGGATATAAGATGAAATTATTTGTTCTAAACATTGATTTTTTGATGAACTATAATATAAACATAATGGTGACCGACATTGAAACGAATATGTTGAGTTTGGCTGAAAAATTGTTGATGACATCTTGCTGTTTTGGTTGTAAAATTAAATCATGATTCATTGAACATATCTACAAAATTTGAAATATTTCTGCAAAAACCTTTACAGTAGTCCTAAGACAGTATTTCAAATGCATCACAGTAAAATCAGATTATAGTCTGCTAGATTCTGGAATCTTTCGCTTGCTGGTTAAGAAATTAGAGAAGAAATTAGAGCATGGAGAGATGGAACATCTCAAAATTTAACTTTTACATGAATTTTTTCGAGTCACATCCATAGTAAGAGACATATGACTGACACACATACTACTAGAATATCGTTTACAGTTTTAGAATCCTAATAAAATCTGGCTTTGTACTGAGCTTTTTCTAAAAAAAGAGGAATTAAGAAGGGATCGCAAAATCTTGAAAAGAGGAACGCCACCAAAAAAGGAGCACGTAAATCCTAAGTTAAAAACGCGAATTGCACAAATCAAATTGAAAATGAAAACAAACAGATTCTGCAATATGTTTTGGCTTTGTGAGAAGAAAATGGTTGCGTATCAATGTTAACAGAGATTTTTTACGTCGTCTTCTTTTCTTGGTTGATTTCTACTCTGATATCTTTGGAAAATTCTGTTTAACAAAATTGAGAGAAATAAAAAAATATCAAATACGTGCTAGAGAGAATGAATAGAATCTTCTGAATTCGCAATGTGTAAGATATTTATACACGATGAACAAAGAGAGAGAAAACGAAAACACGAGTGAATTATTAATGACACGACACCTGCCTTAAAAGATATACTATACGCTAAAGCCATCATATCCAAAATGTGACTCTTTTGCTTCTTAACCCTTTAAGGCCGAATGTCCTTCCCAAGGAACATTGTAATAGTTGACTTAAAAAATGTAACAAAAACCCAAACGAACAGTTGTCTAGACTAAGATAGTCTAGTAGATTATAGATTGAAACACAAAACGCTTTTAACTGACTTCTCAACGCGATAATTAATTTGTCGCGATTAAACATTTTTTTAAATACAAATTTTTGTTTTGAAGGTTTAGCCTGTTCATAGATACAGAGTATAATTTTGTTATTGTGACTGATCTTGGAGAGCATTACATTCATCTATCCTGCGAAAACAGTCGGTAAATTTCGAAGGAATATTTTAAATCCCCGACCCCGATCCCGGCGGGATCGGGGCGGGGGCCAGGGTCAGGGCTGTTCTCTACATGGAATGTTGTATAAACGTACAAATAACAAAACAAACTTTACAATTGAAAATGAAATGTACTCTAGGAAAATATACTGGAAATGTTTGAACTGTAACGTTTATTTAAGTCTTAGTTCAAGTAGAAATTGTTTTACACAATATCTAGCTCAAAAAATAATTGAAATAAACATTACTTTTGCACAGAATGTGTTCATTCTTTGCTATTTTTTAACCAACTATATAAATACGTCTTGATCAGTACTTTATGTGATAACAGTAAAATAAATAGAATCACCCCGATGAAAGGAATTCATTTTGCTTCAGCAAAATAAAGCTTGTAAAATTCATGCCCTCAAAACCTCTCCCAATGCGGCACAATTGTAGCCCGTAAATTTCTGATTAAAATGAGACATCTGCCAGCTCTACATGACCTCTCCTGGCAAAGTTATAGAATTTACAAGAAAATCCTCAAATATTCGTTGTCAGCTCAAAGCTACAGAAATAAGAAATTAATTTAGGGCTTTTCTTGTAAATTCTATAACTTTGCAAGGAAAGGCCGTGTAGAATTGGGAGACGTCTCATTTTAATCAGAAATGTGCGGGCTAGAATCATACCTCATTAAGAAATGTTGTGGTTAGTTTTTAGACTTTCTGAAAAACTGATTTTCCAGAAGATCTGGTCTTCAAGAGTCATGGGGAAAAATTATTTTAGGCTTGTTCTAGCTCGATACCCTCTATGAATCGAAATCTATTTGGGACTATTCACAAAGAAAAACTCTTATAATTAAAGAAACTTGAAAAAGTGAACACACATTAAAAAAACATCCAACGCGGAAGAAGCAATAGTATAGGCACTATTACTCGTTCGACACTACTGCTGCATCAGGCAGTTGCGGTCGGTACAAAGAGGAAATTTTTCAATATAGTCATATTTTATCATGAAAATTTTGTAAGTATCGGATGCCATATACCGAAAATACTTTCAGGAGCGTAGCTAGCATCTCAGAGCAAGGTAGTAGTCGTGCCAAAAAAATGTTCTTTTGGAGAATAAAAGAAAACCGTCTTAATTCAAAACAAAAACTTAACAAAAACCGAAGGAGACACCCTGTTTTATGTAGAAATGTCATTTAACGCTCATCATTGCGCATAGGCCGACCAGTCTAAACGAAGACTGGTCGGGTTGTGGCTTTGCCATAGATAGTATAAGGTAGTGCACGATACTTTCAGAGGAACTAACAGATGTGCAGTAATTTATACGTGTAGAAGACAAAGAGCAGAGCAAAAATCATCCTTACTACAATTTTTTCTATGCGTTTTTATTAAATGAGTGTTCTAGTTGCCGCTCACACAAGCTACTTTCCTTTTCAGACACCCAGTATCCTATAGTTCCCTTGACTTTAGTCTAGGGTCTTACAAAACGGTTGTCCGTGTGTGTGCCCAAAATACGAAAAAATGGCCGTCAGATATTCTATGGATAAGCGAATCACAAGAGACAACAGTAGAAAGTTATATTTTACATAAGAGAGAAAATATTCAAAGAGATCATCTGAAATATTTACTGCTACAAAGAGGTAAACAGCTCAGCAACCGTTTTCTGTGGGCCGAGGGTAGATGTCGCCAGACAGCAGTCAACTGTGACAATACAAAAAAAGTGGTCTACGGGTAATAAAATTGATAGTGTATAGATAATCTATTCTAACGAATCGATTAGAAATACTTCCAACCTCCTTGGGGCCTGCAGAGGGTGTGCAGAAAACCTTTTAACTTTATATTACATTAGATGGTTTTTTGGTGGAATCAGAGAAGTTCATAGCGTTTCTCATCTATACTGAT